GATTGACTAACCATGCCTTGGGTACCCTGACTCGTTCCTGACGAAGAGGCCTGGGACACGGCCTGGGACAATGTGGAAGAAGTAGCCATAGATGTGCCTGTGCTGACCTCGGTCCTAGCCCTAGCACTAGCTGCAGCTGCTCTTGCTCTCCGCACTATCTCCCTTGCCCTGGCTTCCCTTTGCAGTCTCCTTTCGTCTCCCGGACCTAGCTCCTGGAAGGTGAGTGGACGATTGAGAGCGGTTCTACGAGTTACCCTAAGGTCTTCGACTAGTTCTTCCTCCTCCTCACTATTTACAGCTTCACTCATGAGCTACAGTGTGTGTGGTCTAAACTAGAACCCACACTAGATCCTACCTCAGCAGGGCACACAACCGATTAATGTTTGACTCTAAATTCGGTAAGCCTAAGAAGTAGTCAAGTGGTAACCAGCAATCAATGGCAGGTCCTACAGGGAATACTAAATCTATTTTTAGATTACTCTGAAACAGATTGCATGCAGCAAGGATTACTATCTATCTGCAGCTGTCTGTTAGTTGTCAGTCAAGTCTGTAACAACTAAATAATCAAAAATAAAAATAATATTTCCTGCAGAGATGTATGTTGGATGGCAGTTTATCTGATTAATGCCTCAGCGAACAGTTACCGGAATCCAACCCTCCCCCTGTATCCCTCTTGAGTAGTCACTTTGTGTCGACGTCCTAAGCATCCGGTTGAGCAGTGTGTCTGTGTGCAATCCGGCCCACCCCTGTGCCCCAAGTCTACGCCGAACCTGCCAGCCCCTGCACCTTATTTATCCTCGCACGCAACGAGCCTTACACCCGGTTTGATCTGGCTGATCAAGAGGCAGTTTAAGGACAGCCCCCAAGGTTCTCAGGAATTATTTAACGTCGCGGACAGGACGATGATCACAGCCAGAGTCAACACCGAGTCCCCGCCAGAAATATTTAAAGACGGTCTGGTAAGTGTTTGTTCAAAGGGCTGGCATGCCCTGCACGACCTCTATTGCGCAGCAGCAGAACCAAGGACTTGCGGCAAAGCATGCGTGTACTAGTCCCAGCGGGTTGGCATGGTGACCGTGACCCGAGTGCTTCATCCAGGGCCCTTCAGAGGCTTCGCCCGTCTCCCACCAGCTTGCTGCCCAGGAAGAATGTCGACTCTCAAGGTTGAGCGCTCGCGACACCTCACATTGAGAGGACTCGCAAGATAGAACTCACTTCCTCACGGGAAGAATCAATGAAGAGGGTAGATAAGGAAGAGAGCAACGTACCTCATAATGCTGCCCCCAACCACAGATTTCTCACCGGCAACCTGATGTGCATTTATGATGACCGGTCTTTGCCTCGGCCGAACCAACAGCAGAATGCAGTTCCACGTTAGCTTAAATGCCACATCAGCGAGCTCTCATCATCCAGCGTACACCGCTAATGTCACCACATAGCTTCCTGGCGCGCCCACATGTGGGCCGCCAATCATTCAATGCCAAAGCCTTATCACTGCCCCACACTTTCTGCGAAGCACCAAACAGCTATTGCGAAGAATCAATGAAGTGCAGTTCGAACCAGCTCCGATACCAAATTGCAAGGAAAATGAGCAATAGTGAGATGACAATGTCCAGAATACACAATCACATTGAAGGCCAGATAGTAGCACGGTCTCCAGAAAGCAGAAATGCACCAATATAACACCAATGAAGAATCGTAACACTGAAAACCAATGTCAATGAAAGCTTGCTCTCACCACCACCAACATGAGTGTCCAGGCCCTATCTCCCTACTTGGCGCTCGGCGCCCAGCCTACTTCCTACACAGCTACAGTTTGCCTACTAATTGACAATGCAACTGTTGACGTCAGCAGCCCACAAAGTACTTGAAGATGTCGCCCAATGCAGACCATCGCCAATACCAGGTATGTGCCCTTGCATCATCATCATCATCATCCTTCTCTCTCTTCCCTGACTTATTCCCCCTGTACACTCGAAGACCACCCCTGCGCCTCACTGTAGTCCAAGCCCATCCAGCTATGGAGGCTGGGCTATGGCGCTGCCCTCAGCAGTGCCCTGCTCCCTGCACGACCGCACACGCTAGCACCTTGCCTCTCAGCGCCAGCAGCAGCCCACGAGCGTCCACTCCAGCAGCATTGCCGCCAGCATGCAAGTGCTGAATGACTGCTCCAGGCAGCGAGCTCTTTCCTATATGGAAAGAGCCTGCCTGCCTTCGCAGCCTGGCTGGCCTGGGCCTGGGCCCAGAAGCTTCCGGTAGGCCCCAGGATGCTGCGCCTCCGGTTCACCTACTGGGCCTCGTTCGGTTGGGCCTCCCAACTGTCTGTGTATGAGGTGCTCTTTCGGAAAAGCCTAGAAGGCTGTGGAATTTCCTCGCTGCTCGGCCTGTGTTTCCTTCAACCAACTGGCGCGACGAAACTGCCTGGACCCCAAATACGGAATTGAGAGCTGAGGGCTTCTCGTGATTTGTTAGGCCCGCCTTCACTTAGGGCGGGCACAGACGCAACAGGGGCAATTTTTTTTTTCAGAGTCTTTGCTCCTCACTTCAGCTGTCATTTTCTCTCCCCATCGGATGACCTGCATTTGATATGGGCACCGGTGGAGCCATTCCAGATTATTCTTCTCAATCAGCGGCCCTATGTCCTGTCTGCAGTCGTTGGCGGCTTTCGATGTACTTTGCAGTAATGTTTTTTTTTTCTTTTTCTTTTTTCCCCAAAACAACTCAGCCCCTTCTATTCTGGGGGGCATCAGTCCGGTTGCTTATCACCGGCAAGCATGAGCTCCGAAGTACAAATTATTTGTAGGAAAAGAGGAAAGCCTTACCCTTGTGGCCCTAGACGCCTAACAAGGGGGGGATTGCTACAACCGATCCCTCTTCCCATACCATAGCCTCCCCAGGGATACTTCTGTTGGTCGGGAGGCTTCCGAGCAGCACCCAGCCACACAACAGATGGGTCCCCAGGGAAGGCCTGGCCCGGGGGGGCCGTTCTAGCGGTTTCACGGGCCTCACATCCTGTCAGTCACACTCTCTGTTCAACCATCTTTTTTGTACCTACTAACACTCTTTTAATCTAGATCCTTTCCTATCCCGTCTTCTATTGAATCCTTAAGTCTCGTCTAATTTTTACACCGATCTCCTTTGTCCATCCTATCAGTCACACCCTTTGTTCAATCCTCTTTTTTATAACTACTACACTCTTTTAGTCTAGTTGCTTCCCTATACCCGGCTGCCTGTTGTGTGCTTAAGTCTCATCTAATTCTTACTCGTGTCTCCTTTGTCTTCGCTATCACTCTTTCCTCTTGCCCTTCCCCCCCTTCTGATCCAGGCTTTTCAAACCTCACATTTCACCCTCATTCTATTTACACCGCCCTCTGGTTTTAAAGCCATTCTAAAACCAGTAGCCCTCCCTTATTTTAAAAAGTTTAAGTCTTATCCCCAGCACTATGTTCATCAATCCAGGTTAAACCCGTATCCTTTACTCTTTCTTTTCCTTTTCTTCCCGATTTTTGACTCCCCCTCCTCCCTACTTTGCCTTCTACCAGCTTCCTAACTCCTTCTACCCCCGTATCCTCCCATTCGCCCCTACTTCCTACCTACTTAAAGCCATGCTATTCTACTGACTGACTGCTGCTTGTATCCTCTTTCTCTGGTCCAGGCACATAGTGTTGCAAGATTGATCCGAACTGCAACTGCCCTGTGCTAAGGTCCCGCGTCAGCATCTGCGGGAACGGGGCCCATCTCTGCCAAAAGCCTGCCTCCTTTGCTTCCCCTATGCGTCTACTTCGGTGCAGGTCCGCCAATATAGCAATGCGAATATTCTCCAATGCTCTCTCCTGATAGGCCCGCAGTGACAGAGACGCTCCTTGCCTACATCTTTCGTTTCTCAATGTCCGTAAGGCCCATAACATAGCTGCCCTTACAATCTCTTCCACCACCATCTCTCCCATGCCCAGCCTGTTAGCTTTGACGAGCGTACCTAGTAAGATCTCTGCATCGGTCGTTTCGTCGACCTGCAGCGGTGTCTTGTCTGCAATTTCCTGCGCCCACCACTCCCAAAACATCTGTACCCTTGGACATTGCACAAAGAGGTGGGGGAGCGTTTCCACCTGGCCGCATTCTGGAGCACAAGTTTGGTTCTTATGACAACTTTTGGTGGCCAGCCACTGCGCAGTCGGGATTGCCAGGTGGTAGATCTGCCATAGCAGGCCCGCTTGCTTCTGATCTGGACATTTTTTTTGTTCTTTTTTCTTTTTCTTTTTTGTTGCCCTCCCGAGCCTCCCCCCCCCGTCGGCCCCTAGCAGTAGTGTCCCTACCTGATTCCATCAGGGTTTTACCATAGTGAAAAAGAACGGTCGAATGTGAAGCATCCACCCTTTGAGGCTTGTTTGCGATGATAATGTCTGATCATCATGTCTGTGGATGGCTGACCATCTGGACATCCGGATCTGCATCCAGATGACCGGTGGTCGTGGGTCTGGATTACAAAGTTACAAAATATTACTCTTCCAAATTTCGATTTGTCAAAAAGCTTGCAAAAAAAAACATCTGGACAAGAAAATATGCTGTGCAGTGTGCACCGTTGCAATAAAAAAAAAAAAAACTTTTGGCAGAGGGTCTTTTTTTTGTGTGTGTGTGGAGAGGGTCGTTTTCAACTTAATGACCGAAGTCTAGAAGCAAAACAAAAACGAAAAATAATTGAAGTAAAAAACTGTAAGAGTAAAAAACAGTAAAATTTAATAAACTGATATTTTACAACTTTAAAGTTTAAACTAAAATTTTAGGCCATGGTATGTGCTCTAAATTCGAACCGGATGTTCAGACCCAGTTCAGCCCAGCCGGTGACCGGATGGGTCTCTGCAGTCCGGGTCTGCAGTAACCATGTTTTTTTTTTGGTCATTATTTTGGGTAGTCTCTGAAACTGTCTGGACTGTTTGTTGGGGGGAATGCGGGCTGTGTGGTGGCGTCGGAAACCTGGCTGTGTGTTGTTTGGTGCTCATCAGAAAGCGCATGTCATTGATTACGCGAACGCCAGATGGTGAACTGCTGTTGCTCTGCAAGGGGGCTGACTCAGTACTTCTGGAAAGATTGAGCCCTGTCAGCTTGCAGTATAAAGAGGCGACAATGCGGCACGTGGTGGAGTATAGCAATGCCGGGCTCCGGACTTTGCTCTTTGCCTATGCAGTCCTGGATGAGAGATTCTACAGTAGGTGGGAGGTAGGTAGGCTGGCCGCCGACTGCCAATTCTATTCAAGGAACATTGGTGAAAAAGCTGTTTGGGACTCTGCGCTGCAATGTTTTTACGAACTACGTATGCCTCACTGGACCTCCTATGAAGAACAGCTGATGCTGCTGCTAAGGAGAGGGTCAAATATGGGATTATAAATAACTGTGATTAGTAATTGCTACTTACGAGAAGTTACGACTATCGAATAAAATACGAACAGTAATATTAGAGTTCCAGACGGGCCCTACCGGGCCCGACCAGGTAGGACAACCTAGCGGTCGGTCAGGGGGTATTTAGGTCCAGATAGGCCCTGTGTCGTTTCGGCCCAGTTTAGGGCCCGTAAGTCCGTAGGCCCAGGTTAGGCGACAGGCCCTGGTGCATGTTTTGGTGCCAGACCCTGGGGGCAGCGCCGTTTCGTTGGGCGCTGGCCGTTGAGGCCCAGCCTCCGTTTGGGCACCAATTTAGGCGCCAGACTTCTATTCGAGGAATCGGAGGCCGGACCAGCAACTATTTATAGCTGGTCTGCCTCAGCCTCAGTAGGCATTCGACAGGTATCGTAGCGGTACACTTTGTAGTGGTAGTGATGATCGATCATAGCGGTAGGGAGGTAGGACTTCAGCGCTAGCATAGCGCAGCTGCGATACACAGCAGCGGAAGAGAGAGAGAGAGAGAGAGAGAGAGAGAGAGAGAGAGAGAGAGAGAGAGAGAGAGAGAGAGAGAGAGAGAGGCATACCTGATTGATGTCATGGTTGGCTGCCATAGCTGTTGATTGCAGTCATTATTCTGTTGCTCTCTGTCGGTTTTGCTATCGTGCTCGAGCCTTGTCATTACCTGTCCTCGTGCTCGACATTACCAGTGCTTGCACACACACACACACACACACACACACACACAGCACACATGAGCACACACACACATAGACCGGGGCTGGAAGAAGAGATAAAAAGGGGTACCCCTTTGTAATGGCAATTCGTATACAACCGGGGTGGGGTGCCTCTCTGTTGCTAGCATGTAGGAGCCGAGTAGCCTGTGATCGGTCGTTCTACGCCATGCCATGGAATGCAGCAACTGCAACTCCAAGAATTGGATTGCGGTGCTTCCACAGTCATGGTCATATTTTAGTGAAGATTTTGAGTTGTTTTGCTTGGAACTATGTTGTCCATGGGAGGTATCTTGTATTTACTATTTTGCTCATCTTGCACCTGTTCTCATTGTTTTCACATTTACTGGATTAAAGTTACCTGTTGCTGTATTACAAGCTTATGTTTTTACTGTTCTAATATGTACTTTTTACTATTTTAGTATTTTTTACTATTTACCCTGAATGACGCTTTTAATCTTCATTAATTAAGCACTGTCTCCCACTTCGTTGTTCTTACACGAGCTCACGCCAGCCATGCAGCATCTGTATGAAGTCAAAGTACATCTCTTCCGATGAGTTTCTTTCGTACGTCAAGGTCTGGTAAGGTTTTGCGCTCTGTTATCTAATGAAACCACATGCTCCGCCGCTTGTCCAGCCTCCCATCAACCGTCAATTCCTTTTGAGTAACCGGTCCTGTCCTGTCCTGTCTGCAGGGGGGTGGGCATTTAGCATTACCATAGGCAACGCCGGCTCCTAGACTTGAAAGAAGTTCCTTGCAACACAAACACTGACTGGCCTCTGCCTTCTTCCCCCGAATACAACGCACGGTCATTATAGCTGTATTTGGGGTATCTTTCAGTCTAAATATATAGCTATAATGACGGTACGACGTACGTTGTATATTAGGAGGAAGAAGGTAGTGCCATTCTATAGTAGTCCGCGCTGGTGGTGAGTGGTGAGAAAAGAAACCTGAGTAACTGTGTCTTTCGTCGTCTGCTCTTAGTTCCATACGAATGAGCATCATTAAGAGAAGAGACAAAATATATAAGCTGAAGATCTGCTGAAAAATGAACAGAATGAACAGGAGTATACCTCTCTCCTTTACTCTGACTCAGCGGGCCGTTATGGCACATGGGAAGGTCGGCAGCGTGCGCTCCACGACAAGCAACGTGGCAGGCCTTGTTTGTGAGAGGCGCAGAAAAAGGGGAGCTGCAAGACGAGATAAAAAGGGGTACCCCAAAGAAAGCCAAAGTAAGGAAAGCGGAGAAAGGACTGTATAAGGGGAAAACCCGGAAAAGACAATATGCTGGTGTTAGTGTGCTTCATGTTGTCTGCTATAGAGGTAAAGCTGTTTCGACTTTGGCTGTGCTCATCATCTTAGTTTGCTTCCTTTTGTTTTCTATAGAGGTAAAGCTGTTTCAATTTTGGATCTGCTCATCTGTGTGGAAAAGAAGTTGTTGTGGTGACAGTCTACAACACACACACACACACACACACACACAAGCACACAGCGTCACAAACGGACACACTCTTCACCCACACTTGGTGGGGCGTTCGCCTTAGTCCCTTGGACTGAGAGCAGCCAGGGGGGTGGGTGGGGGAGGGGGGGGGGGG